TCTGCAAAATCCATATGCCACCCATTTCTAACAACGGTGGGTGGTCTACAAATTTAGCATAATATTCACAGCCCTGGTGGAGGATGGCCTTCTAGAGGGGGTGGGTGGATTATTAAAACATTGCAATCCTCTGCCCTTCTGTTTCTAATGGATAAGACTGGTAATTAAGCAAAACCTGCAAACTAATTTAATCCTCTAGCTACAATAGGAAAAGGGAGTTAATCCCCAAATCCCAGCTAGTGGCCTGGTACAGAATTCCTTGATAATGACAATCACACGATCCTTCTAGAAATGTACAGGCAGAGCGACGGTCCCCAAAAAGGAAAACAGACCAAAAAAGTGGAATTAACAAAAATGGACAGCCATACCAGTCTTACATGCTCCCATACCAAATGGGTGGCAATGGACGTAAGAAGTTCTGCCTTTCTGCTTCCGAATGCAGGGAATGTCTTTCTGGAACCCCAAACAAAGCCTTGCATCAAGATGTGCATGGAGAAAAGGTGAAAGGACCATTGAAACTCTTTTGGAATTGCTTAGCATCTTCTTGGTGGAAGGCCAGGAGACGTGTCTGCTTTGTTCCATTGACCAGCGTGTTTCCTGGCAAACGTCCTGATGGGTTTTTGGTTTTACTCCAGAACTGACACTAGACTGTTGAATGGGTCCTCCAAGGCAATCTAGCTGGGAACGATCTGAATGTCTCTCTGGCAAAAACAAACAAGACCAGCCACGGCTCCTGCAGTAAGATGGCCTAGTTAGGTAGTGGAATGTAGCTAGTTTTAACTGATTTCAAAAAAATTAACAGGGCTGCTGCAGAGCAGACAGGAAAGCTGAAGAGAAAAAAAAAAAAAATCCTGAAAGGCTGTTTCTTGTGAAGGATGCCTTCAGTTCAGGAGGTGGAGAAAATTCGCCCCCCCCCCAGGTGTTCTGCATCACTCCTGTTTATTGGCCACCATGATTTTTGTAGCCTAGAGTTGGTAGCCCAAGGTTGACCATGTTAGATTGGGTGAACCAACAGTCCATGTCTAGAGTTTTACCCATTGAGTTAAACTATAAACTGCTTCCTTATCCTCCCAATTACCAGGAAACCATGCCACCAATATTTAACTCTTCTGACAATTATTCAATAGCAATAGCACTTAGACTTATATACCACTTCACAGTGCTTTACAGCCTTCCCTAAGTGGTTTACAGAGACATCGTACTGCCCCCAACAATCTGGGTCCTCATTTTACCAACCTCGGAAGGATGGAAGGCTGAGTCAACCTTCAGCAGGTCAGGATCGAACTGCCAAACTGCTGCCAGTGAGCAGAACTAGCCTGCAATACCGCATTCGAACCATGGCGCCCCCATGCCTTCGTGTTTTGAAGGACAAGTTGGACAAGTTAGAAGCTTGTGCTACAGTTAAATCTGGTTTAATGCATAGCCTTACTGAAGAGTCTGGAAAATGCAGAAGGCTAATTCTGCAAGCAAAGCTTGGCACCCACCCCTGCTCTTTCTGAGCCCACCTCCCTTGTTAGGACCCTTAGATGTGCTGGATTAAATGCCACGAGGCAAAGTTAATGCTATGCTTCATAGTTTATTTATATTTTTATGTAAACATCATTTGCTTGATAGGCACAATATAACAAAAGCTCTAAAGCAACAGAGAACAATTAAAACAAACATTTCAATTTACTTAGTTCAGGTAGATGATGAAGAGAGGCTGTCATAGTTCCATAATCCAAGTTGGGAACTCATTTCCTTTGACTTGATGAATGCAATCAATTAATTGAGAAAAACTTGAATGTAGCTTAGTAACAAGAGCTTGGGGCTCAAAGATTCTGAACTCTGTTCCCCAGTAGTAATACTGATTAGATAAAATGCCTTTTCTACATAGCGAATTCTCCCGGCAGAATTGCAAACTCAAATGTTCCCCACCTCCCTCCAGTTTTCCCCTGCACATTGAAAGCAAGACTTGTTAACGATGGATTTGGAGACTTTTATTTGCCACTGCTTTCCACCTATTTCTTCACCTACATGGGGCATTAGAACCTGTCATACCTCCAATATATTCGGATGTGGGCAGTTAACTCTTTCAAAATTCAAATGATGATATCCCTTTCTAAATTTTCTTGAAAAGCCAGGCTGGAATTATAGGGAAATGAAGTTGCTTTATTGACAGATAGAGAGGATGTAAACCAAGAGTTTGGAGGGAGCTTCCAATGCTTTGGACTCTTTCACCTAATCCAGGAAAAAATGCAGGTCCAGTGAACCTCAGGCACGTAAGATTGAATTCAATGGATCACAGGCACTAGCAGTTTGCATGAATGTTAGGCTATTTTGATTCCGCTTGAAGTTAAAGCCTTTCCCTCTAGCTCATAAAATAGAAGTGCAGGATAGAAGATAAATATTTGGACAGGCGCAATGATGCAAAAAGGTTGGCCCACTCAGTGAGGGTTTACCAATGTCATCTCTGCTCTCCAAAGTCTAGAAGAGGGACCCAAGTGAAGGCTCAGCTGATCTTCTTGGAAGAAGGCAACTTTTGATAGTGGCGTATGTTGGTTAATGACCAAAACAAAGTTTGATTTGATTAATTTTGTAGTGGTAAGCTTGCAATGGCTGCTGCCATTAAAACACATCTAAAATATGGCATTCTATTGGCATTTGTTTGACATGGTCCCTTTCATTCCATCTGTTTTTTGCTTTCTTCTATATTCTTGAAGAGATGGCATTCAGCAGAGATACACTGATTTACTGCAAAAAAGCTATGAGTCACAAAAATGGAATGGTACATGAATGTGCAACAATTGCAATTTAAATGGCTTTCAAAACTGGGTTGAAACCAATCCATGAAGAAAGTAGCTATTATTCATCATTGCTACTGCTAGAGATACCTGGATAATAAGAGAAGGCTGATGATAGAATTAGAACACTGCAGGAATATTATTTTAATGATGGATATAAAATCTCTTGGCAGGGCAGTGAATAACTAGAGAAGGCTCTTATAAACAGCAGTGTGGTTATAATTCTGCCACTGAAATTCCAAAGAAGGGCTTCAATCAAAGCTGTTCATTTTTTACTACTGTGCAAACATTCAGTCTGAAGAAGTTTATACCTGAAAATGATTCAATCAAATATTGAAAGCAAACTGACTTTTAAAAATACATTGGGCAGATGCTTAAATCTTACTGGATCCTTTTGAAGTGATCTGGATTTTTTTTTTTTTTTTGTGGATAGCAAAAATGGCTTTAAAAAAATAATTGAATCAATTTGCTTATTTAATCCAAACTTTTCAGTAAAACTCATGTCAGTTTTATGAGTCAATGCAAATCATTGAATCTAACCAAGTTTCAAAATCAAATCAATCATTTGAATGGATCTGTTTCCCAGTCTAGTTCTGGATCAAGTCTGAAACCTGTTGCAGTCCCAAACTAGTATAGATATTCTGCTACCATTAAAGCCATTTTTTCGCACTTCGGGAAAAGAACACAACTGGAGATTTGAGAGGGTGAAAAAGTAACAATGCAGGAATGGACAAGAGTGTGCTTCTCCTCCTTTCTAAAAACCAATGGCTATAAAATTCCTATTAAATTTGATTGGACTGCACACCTAGCCAAGTGTGGCCATTTTATTTTCTTCCAGCTCTGAAAATTGATATAATTATACAAAATGATGTGTATAAATAATGATAAATTATTCTAACAACTAGATACCTCAACTCCCTTCCTTTCCTTTGGGCTTTTATCATCCTTAACTTGATTTGTTTGCATCGATGGTTTGGTTGATTGACAATTTCGAGGAACTACAGAATATTCTTTGTAAAATGGCTCATTGTCAAAGTCAATCTTTTAGGATCATAACAGAACCCAACTGTTCCGTTCTGAAAAACAGAAAAATACAATTGGAATGTTTAAAATAATATGCTAATCCAAATGCATCTTTCTTTTGAGGAAAGATGTTAGTAATAATTTAGTGGTTCTCCAAGACATTTGGACAAATATTTTCTTTGATTCATGAAGTGGGTAACACAAAAGCTACATAGGAAATCTGCTACATAGGAAATCTATGTTCTCTGTGAGTACAAGATATGGGATCACAGTACTTTGCCTGTAAGAAAAGTGATAATGAGACAAAAATCACGTAAGGTTTACACAAAGCATCAGCATTTGGATATAGCTTTAAGAGACTAATATTTCTTTAAATGTGTTGAGTGGATATAGTTACTCTTGAGCTACCTTTAAGTATTATTAAGAGTGCTGTTTTGCTTAACAATGCTAAAACAAACATTTAGGAGAAGTCATTCCAAAGAATTTTCTTTGTACAATAATATAATTTAGGCAAACCAACTATAAACATTTTGTTGGCAATATTTTCAGTGAACCCAATTTAAATAATTGGTGGAATCTGACCACTATTATTACCATAACAGTTACACAAATCAGTGTGTCTTAGCATTTCGTTGTATACCAAACAATAGTGTACACATGAGGTATTTTCTTGAGAGATGAGAAGAATTTGTTTACAAAGATGATGTGATCTTTACAGAGCAGGAAAAAATGATAATTGCCTACCAGGATAGCCTTAGTTTGTGATTCAAAGGAAGATTTTCCTTCTTTACGCCCATACAGGAGAAGATGCATATTTATTGATACTTCATGGGCAGTTCTCCAAATATGTTCTAGGATAGGGCTTTATGTGCACATGGAGTTATCAAGGGTCACTCTATCATTGCGCAGTTAATGATTATATTTTTCTCATGAAGGAGAACATTGGCCTATACCAGAGGTAGGCAACCTTGGCTCTTCTATGACTCGTGGACTTCAACTCCCAGAATTACTCAGCCAGCATGGCTGGCTCAGGAATTCTGGGAGTTGAAGTCCACGAGTCATAAAAGAGCCAAGGTTGCCTACCCCTGGCTTATACAATGGTTTAAGGCAGTGGTTCTCAACCTGTGGGTCGGGACCCCATTTGGGGTCGAACAACCATTTCACGGGGGTCGCCAAACAAGGTTGTCTGCCATTTTCCCCCCTTTTCTTTGGCCACGCCCCTGGCACCCGGTGATGTATAAGTGGTTGGGGGTCACCACAACATGGGGAACTGTATTATGGGGTCGCGGCATTAGAAAGGTTGAGAACCACTGGTTTAAGGCTTTGTATCAGTTTATCAACAGAGAGGGTCTATTTGTACTAACTTTCCCACCTATTATAAATCACGAGCACAACATTTGCCTGTGGATCAATCGGAACATTTCATAGGGCTGAGGAGAGAGAAAAGTTAAGTGTCACCAAAGAGAAAGCAAATACATTTTAAATAGATTTCTGTGCATATCCCCCCATATTACCAAACTGCTAATTTTCACATGTTTTTCTTCTGTTCAACTGTGTCCAATTCTCAGAGACTGCCTGGGCAAGTCCCTGCAGGGGGCTTTTTGGCAAGGTTTTTCAAAAGTAGTTTGCCACTGCCTCATTCCTAGAGCTGAGAGAAAGTGACTGGCCCGTCCAATGTCACTTGGGTGGTTTGGTGCCCAAAGTGGAACTAGAATTCACAGTTTCCTGGTTTCTAGCCTGATGCTTTAACTACCACATCAAAGTGAATTTCCATTTTAATTTAAAATTGCCTAAATACAGTTGGCAATAGGTAGGGGTTGGTCTGGGCTACAAATTGCATACTTGTGTTTTAAGAGAAGAAAATGCCAATAAGAGTCCAGGCTATGCATGTCTTTAACTATTGTACATATGGACTACAACACTGTCCACAGAACCTAACCTCCTTCCTCTTTCCAAAACCAACCAATCTCAACTCTATCAAAGTGGCTTGAAAATTTGCCTCGGGAATCAACATGGAAATATGTTTGTGTCTCCTATCACTGTAGATGATAATAAGGCTTTTGATAGGTATTCAACAAGACTTTTACAGGCAAACTGGAGACCACAGGATGGAATGTCATAATACTGGGAAAGTCAGAATGGCACTTCAGTTCAAAACATCAATGACCAACACCTGATAGCTCAGCTGACTGCAGACAAAAGGAAAAACAAAACAGCACACACTGTACTAGAGCATTTGGTGCACAAAATGGGTTTCCCCAGTTGTCTTCCCTTCTTCTGCTTTATCAACTCTTCCAGCTCTCATCCCCACCTTTTCCAACTACTGTTGGATGAATGGTATACACTCTTTGTTCTCATTGTCCCCCTCGTGGTCTTCTTCCTCTTCGGCAGCTTCGCTGGTCTCTGTGCTATCGTTGGCCATCTGGGGATGAGACAGAAGCCAAAGGATGCACGTCAGTCAATATAATTCTCTGGCTAATGTGCAAAGCAATCCGCATAATGGAGAAGACCCTAAAGGCGGAGGTATCACCATACCAAAACTTTGTCAAGAATTGCAAAGACAAGATGAAAAGGAAAGAGTGCCCCAATTTTGGGAGTGACCTTTTAGTACAACACCATCATCTCTTACGCTTGCACACCATGCCCAACCAATTCAGGTTTGTGCCATTTTTGAGGTGTGTTGAGTAAAAGGAGAAATGATGGATCCAAGCAGCGATTTGTAAAAGCATGACCCACCAATTGGTAGATCTCCAAATGCATTCCAAACTGATGACTCTCATGGAATTGAAATTTTGCAAACTTTATAGAACATTTCATGACATAAACATTATCCTAAAACCTTTGTGATAGAATACAAATGTCATAAAGCCTCTTCTATAGTCAGTTCCTGTTGTTTAACAATAAAATGTGGGCTATTTTCAAAATAGTCACTTTTCTGAATATCTCCATGAAATTTAAGAACTTTCCCAGTGAAGATAGAACATTGGAAGTTCTGCCATTGTTGAAGGCATTGAGGAATCTGGCAATAAAATACCTCTGAAACAATAACCCAACAGGTCACTTAGGGGGCTAATAAAGGGGGAGGTGGTGCCTTCAATATTCACATATTGATCAATGTAGGATTTGAAATCTGCTGCTTCTTGTAACTTACCAAAGGAGTAGGTGACTTCTCCACATCCAGAATTAATTTTCCTATATTACCTCTGTCATGGATTCTTTGCATTGCTTCCTTCACCTATAATCAACAGATCTTAAATTTTAATCCTCTTTGTGATGCAAAAGCAAAGCAAATCAAAAACAAAAATACCCCCTACAACTGGTATTTGAGCACAAGTATGTTTCCTAGGATATGTATGTATATATAAAAATATGCCTGTGTTGACTTTTAAGCCCAAGAAAGACATGGAACTAATTAAACATCACAAGAAAAGAAAATATTGTATCAGCAGAATATCACAGCACTGAAAAGGCTGCTGTCTAAATCCTGTTTCCTAGGAGTACATGTTTGGAGATTTCTTTTGTGTAAATATGTCTGGCAGAACTAGGAACACAATGCCTTCAGGTTTAGACTAAAGCTCTTAGAATCCTTGAGGATTGTTCATGTGTCAGCCCTACAAGGTATAGCAGATCAGGAAATTCACTCTACAGGAAGATTAGACAGAAACGTTTTGGTGATAGGCTACAGTAACACAATCTCGCAAGTCTACTTATGTTTTCACTTCCGTGTGTCTTTTACATCTGGGGATCAGGAAGAATATGATCTAAGCCTTCTTTCTAATACTTTCCCAACTTTCCTGGGCTTAGCATGTGCTTCTTCTGTCTCTGTTGTTCTAATCATTTCTAGATGCTTTTTCCAAGGTTATCTCCCCACACCGTACAACTTTAGATAATAATAATAATAACGTAATGAAAGCATCTGGAGAGCACCCCTGATGGATACAACTGAAGTGTCATATGCAATCCCATTTCTATCTTCTTGTGAGGATCATGGTAAGATATTTCACTGAGCATCACTTTGGAAAATAAGATCTCTGGATTTCCATTCTGTGCTATGATTTTATAATTGATGGGGCTTCTTTGCTGCTTAATTCCATGATACATGGATTTTGGTAGCAAATTCCTGTAACCACAGAGTTAAATATTACATTTATACATTAGCTCAATTCAAGGGGAAATTTAGGCAGTATACAGTATATATAATAATATGCAGTAAATAATACAACGGCAAAACCAGAAGGCACTGCATTAATGCAATAAAACCAGATTATGACATATGTAGCTATAAAAATATAGAAATACCATTTTGGTGGAAGTCCCAACAAGAGTATCATCTATATTATTCCATTTGCTGCATAATCGTATGCATATGGCAGTTTGCTATGGGCAACTTTCATCCAGTCTGTAGCTCTGAAGTCCCTTAGATGTACCTAAGCTGAAATCTGTCCAAAATACCCCATAAGGCAACAATGGTGACGTTGTAATTGTTAAGAAAACTACATGAACACATCATGAAGATACCGGATTGTAAAGAGACTATTACAAGGCAAGATGGAATGCTTGGTTATTTGTGTCACCATTAGTAATTTCCACACTGTATATGGGCTACAGCTGGAAAACATTTAGTTTCAACTTTCCCCCTTAGTAGGGCTGGATTCACACACTGTCCTAAATCATAATATTCCATGTTTAGTAACTACCCATCTATCATTATATTTCTATCTTCTTTTCTCCCTGTAACTCTCAATTAAAGGTGTTGGGCTGAGAGTACATCATTCAACTTGACATCAAGTGAGGATTTCAACTTGCATCTGCTTTATCCAAGCTCAATGTTAAAAAGTACAACTGGTCTTGAAATGGGAGCTCCAAACCATGTAGGTTATCAGTTCCAAATATGGTTTGTTCAATAACAATTAGGGATTGACTTCATGTAAGCCACCATTATGCCAGACAGCTATTTAACTTGTGGTGCTCCGGATGCATCCTCTTCACCACTTCTTGGGCTCTGTGGTATCCGAAGCAGAACATCCAGATTCAATCACAGCTTTGTTCCATACAATATTAACCATGTGAACTCTAAAGCTTCCTCCTTTCATTATGAATTCAAGATGGACAGTGAATAATATTTATATGTTACTTATACGTAAGGGTGTAGGTCTATACATATGTTGTATATAGTATGTTTTAAATGTGTTATGTATTGTGTACACTTTGAGAGGAAGCAACTAAATTTCATTTTTAATGTGTGCCATTGTGCCCACAGGAAAAAAATGACAACGAAGGCAATCTAATCTAATCTAATCTAATCTAATCTAATCTAATGTTACTTAATGGTTCTCAGCACCCATTCATATGCCAGCCAGCTCAGATCAATGACATCCAACCCGTTTTCTCCCCTAAAGAACTCAGCCACTTTATTGTTCAGCTGAACATTGTGACTTTCAATGGTTTTCAATCCTTGCTTTAATTTGAAATTCCTCTAAAGGTAAAAGAATGATTAACAGCTAACTGCAATTTTACAAGCCCTTAAGTCTACAGAGAACAAATGTTTCAATTGCTTCTACACTATCAAGAGGGAAAAAAAATAATCATGCTGTCTATGTATCATTTGTTCTTTGAAAATATAGCTATGCCTCAGGAGCTATTGTACTCAAATGCCATATTATAGAAAAAAGAAATTACTTGTGCTTTCTGTGACAAAATATGCACTTAATATGGATGAGTGAAAAGAGGAAAGAGGTTGTTAAGGCTTCTATTCACTTTGTTGATGTTTTCACAATACAACAAAGGGATTAATCAAAAGCTATTGAATAAACACAGTTCATTGGGTGACACAACATTGCCAATACCAAATGACGGTTTTGAAACCATTCTGACTGGGTTCCCACCTGTAGTATGTCAGGGTTTGAAAAAGTAAGTTGCAAGAGCCCACGATTATAAAACATGGTTTACAGCTTAGAAGTGAGAGAATTCAACCACTGTAGGGTATCCATCTTAAACAAATAGTTTGTTGCGTGACAAAGAGTCAACAATCAAGGAACATGAATTATCTTAGGTTCTTGTTGAAAGGCTATATCCAACCCAAACCAAATCCAGGGAAACTAAGCTATCATGGGAGCAACAGCTGTGGACAAGGGGGAAAGAAGCCTGAAAGAAATCCAAAAATTCTCCAAGGAAGAAGGTACCTTTTCTTTTAACCTTCACAGAACATCAGATACAAATCCTCTCCTTTAGCAGTGATCCACTAAATTAGCCTTCTGCCTTGTTCAACTGAGATTCCAGTTTTGACATCTCCTGCTGGCTACCCAAGGTAACCCTGGGCCACTTGCAGCCATGATATATGGCACGGGAGAGGACCAAGCTAGATGTGGCTGGTGGTGGAACTGCTACATGAAGATCCCGTTCTCATGATCTGGTTCACACATCATGCAAAGTTTGTTTAAATGTAGTTTGTTGTTAGTTCACAGTTGCCTAAAACATGGTTTAAAACAGACATGTCAAACACAAGGCCCGGGGGCCGGATGCGGCCCACGAAGTGGTTTCATGTGGCCCGCGAAGCCATCCTGGAAACAGTGAGGGATGGCCCCTCTGCCTTGGCCTTGGCCCTGGCCAGCTGGGAGCCAATGTACAATTTTGTGGTGGCCATCTATACTGAAACACATTCAGTCTTAGCTCCACAAGGCCGTGCGGAAACAGTGAGGAACCAGCCCCTGCTGCGTTGGCCCCGCCCCCTGGGTGCATGCTGGGAAGGTGTCACCCATTAGGGTTTAACATGTGAAGACAGCCTCTCTCTTCAACTAAAAGCATTTAAATTTAATCCTAACCCGCTTTCCAAGAATGTTAATCTTCTCTGAAGCATTCCATTCAAATTCCTCTCATTTGACACAGAGGGGGAAAACATACTGATACCTGCTGTTAATAGAAAAAAAATTGGGAAAGAAAAAAAAGCTATGAGAGAGTAAATTTTTTCTTCTCCTTCTGGCTGCTTTTGCCAACATGTAAGCAAAAGAAACCCATTCATACATCTCCAGATTCACGTCCACTTTCTGCCTCTAGTCTAGAGAAATCTGTCATGAGAACTGCAGCCAAATCTAATAGGAAGCACAAGCCAATTGCAAAAAAATGGAATTGTTGCCAAAATGATAGTACATGGAGGGGAAGAAAGCAGCTCTCCATTGTGTTCACGCTCTAGACAACTCACAAAACATAGCATCTGATCATTAGGATCTGTTCCAGTTCAATATTGGGTATGCTTGTATTTTTGTAACTAAATCAGACTTGACATTCATTTCACGGTTAAGTTCTACTTCTGCAAAATTCATGGAAAGACTGGTGTGCACAGTATGAATACTATTATATTCTGTTTGATGGAAATAAGGTGGCAACCATTTTTCTCTGCCAAATTCCAGAACTTCCCATTACACACAATATTCCATCATTCCTGAGGGACAGCTATCTGATAACCAATTATTTGAACGTGTAGAATAATCTTTCTACTTGGATGATCAGAGTTTAATGTAAGAATGGGTATTATTATTATTTTTTGCGTTTGAATAATTTTCTCTCAGAAAAAAAACATGTTTTCTTTGCTCCTCCATTTTGCCTCACAAGGAATGCTCAAAAGACTATTAACTGATTTTGTACAAGAGTTTAAAGCTGACCTTTGACTGCAAACTGCTCCAGTTCTCACAGGAGATTAGAACATTCACATAAAGGAATGCATTTGCATTATTAATAATACTAACGGTGATAAAATGTAACCGCCAAACTAGATAGCAGCACCAGGTCAATTTTGTTAACTCTCAAAAAACTCAGGAGTAGACCCAGTTGGAAATTTCAGGGGTGAACGCCAAAGTCAAAAGATAAAACATCATCCTGGATTAAGTTAATAACAAATTATACTGTTTCCAGAAATAGTAACGACCAAGTGATTATCAGGAGCGGGAGTATGACTTTATTTTACAATTCTTTGAAAAGTATTCAAAGCCTGAAATAAACAGAAGAGCAAAACCATCACTGGATAAATCTGAGACAATAGCTGGGTTCCTTCAGCACAGTTGGACATAATCCATGATCCAAGGATCACAGCGCTGAGTTCTCGTAACACGCTGAGCCAAACACAAATAAAGCCAACTAGAAAGCTTTAAACATGTCCTTCAGGAAATACCCCAGTAATGTTGTATTAAAGACTACTTGTAGCACATCCAAATCAGTGGGATATTTTCTACATCCACAAAG